AATTCTCTTCCTTCTCCTAGAGAAAGACAATGTTGTCCACCTGGGTGCTGGCCTGGTTGGTCTCCCTGAGGACCTTGTCCACAGCGCTGGATCCGACCCTGGAGGGGACATGGAGAGACTGGAAGGCCACTCACAGTAAGGAATATGGCCTGGTGAGTTTGCTCCACTAGAACTCAAATCAATCTCTCCTTAATTAGTTCCCATCTGTCGCTTCTTGTCCTGCCTTCTGGTGCTCTGGAAAATAAGTTGACTCTCTCCTCTTCTTTGTGGAAACCCCTCAAAGACTGGAACAGGCTGTCAGGTCTCCCCAAATCCTTCTTTTCTCTAGACTAGCCAAACCCAAATCCTTCAAACGTTCTTCGTATGTTTCAGTCTCCAGGCCTTTGATCACCTTAGTTGCTCTTCACTGAACTTTTTCCAAAGTCTCAACATCTTTTTCGTAGCGTGGTGAGCAAAATTGGTTGCAGTATTTCGGGGGTGGTCTCCCTAAAGTTTTATAAACCAGTACTAACACTTTGCGTGATCTTCATTCTAGGCCTCTGTTTATACAACCCAGGATTGTATTAGCTTTTTTGGCTGCTGGTGCACATGGCTGGCTCGTGTTTAAGAGATCGTCCACTAGGACTCCAAGGTCCCTCTCACAGTGACTGTTTTTCAGCCAGGTCTCACCTAATCTGTGCTTGGACCTGTGTTTTATTTCTGCCTAAATGTAAAACTTTGCTTTTCTCCATGTTAAAACCATTGTTCAAGTTTGTCAAGATCTTTTTGGATCCTGAGCTTGTCTTCTGGGCTGTTGGCTGTTCCTGTCAGCTTAGTGTCATCTCCAAATTTGTGGAAGGGAAGAACTCTCGTTCTAGGCCTGCCACTAGGTGCCACTAGGTGCTTAGACAATGGGACTAAAATAGATCTTCTTAATCCTGGCTGCCCATCAGGGGAAGAATCCTTTCGGAGAGCCATGTGGGAGGATAATCTGAGGATGATCCAGGACCACAACAGCCAGGCTGAGCAGGGAAAACACACCTACAAACTCGGGATGAATCACTTTGGTGACCTGGTACGTGTGGATCAAGGCTAGTTTGATTTATTCCATGGACATAGATGTCGGTTTGCTTAGTTTCTATAGTTGTTTCATTCCTTCACTCCCGCCATCTCAGTCAATGACTGGGCAATTCATGAAGTCCCAAAATAACCCAGGCAGTTTTCATGCCTAAGGCGGGACTAGAACTGACAGTTTTCTTCTTTCTGGCCTGGCGCCTTAACCACTAGGCCAGGCTGCCTCCAGCCTCTGAGGTTTGAGCTTCATGTCCTTTGCAACCCTCAGACCCATGAAGAGATTAACCAGAGGCTGAAATGTTTCCTTCCTGACTCGGATCGGGCAGCTCTCAAGAACGCCGTCCCCTTCCAACCCTCCGAAGACCTGCAGGTTCCCCCCGGGCTGGACTGGCGAGCCAAAGGGGCCGTGACTGAGGTCAAAGATCAGGTGGGTGCTGAAGGGCCTGGGGGGGTGGGGGGCTCTGACCAGCCATGAATGGAGGAGGGAGGCAGAGGGGCTTTTAAGGAAAAGGAGGGGAGGGGTACGATCTGCCCATTTGCAATTCAGGTCGGAATTTAGTGGCTCCTGAAATCTTGCAGACGAAGCTAAATTCTTTCCTCCGTTAACTGAATTTCTGAAGCTTCAGTTTTATCACAACTCCCATATATCAAAAGAGAACAAACCCCACATTCCCTTCTAGCACTGATGGTGTTACCTAGTTGGGTAATGAGATGCTTGCAAGAAAACCACCAAGCTCAGAGAGTACAAAAGATGCCGTGGTCATCACCCTCCTCCTCCTCCTCTTCTTCTTCCTCCTCCTCCTCCTCCTCCTCCCCCCTGCACTCCCCACACTAACACTGATGATGTTACCTAGCTAGGTAACGAAACATCTCCAAGAACCCAACCAAGCTCAGAGAGCACCCAGGACCCCACAGTTCTATCCTGAGCTACAGATATTCTCTTCTGTCGGAACTGAGATTTTGCCCAGCTGCCTCCGTCCAAGAACCGAGAACAAGGAACTGGTTAAAGGAAGATAAATCAAGTTTTCCATTGCTTGGTGGATCATTGCAGCTTTGTTTTTTATCCAGGGCGAGTGTGGCTCCTGCTGGGCCTTCAGTGTCACCGGCGCTCTGGAAGGCATGCATTTCAAGAAGACGGAGAAGCTGGTCTCGCTGAGCGAACAAAATCTTATCGACTGCTCTAAGGACCAGGGGACTGAAGGTTGCGAGGGTGGATTTATGTCAGACGCTTTTACATATGTGCAGAAGGAAGGAGGGATCAATTCAGAGGAAAGCTACCCATATGATGGACAGGTAATTCTCTGTGGGTTCCTGTGCGTTCTTCAAACTATAGTTGGGTTGGGTTGAACAGAGTAGACTGGAGAGTGGTGTGGAATAGAATAGAATA